TGTGTGTGTGTGTGTGTGTGTTTTTGTGTGTGTGTGTGTACACGTGTAAACACCTGTGGAGTGAAAATGGCCCATCAGAGCGGCTTCTTCTGCGCAGTCGCTACAAACGAGCTCAGAGACGCATCTCAGCGGGGAGTCTGCCCGACTTCACAGCTTCCGAATCGGCCTTTTCTCACCTAATGAGCGCACTCACAAGGCCGCTGATAAGCCCGGAGACAAAGGGCTGTGTAATGGAGTGGGGGTGGCTTGGAAAGAAAAGATTTGCCTGTGTGAAAGAGGCCAAACAGAGCCCACCTGGACAGGCGAGCAATGGCCGGAGTCTGGCTTAAAAGGAGGTAAAAGGAGGTTTTTACGCGCAAGAGCTTTTACGCGCAGCTCCAGCGGGCGCAGTCGGTGAATGTTTGTCGGTTTATGGCGCTGTGAGGCGGATCATTGATGTCCCTCACCCTGAGGACACTCAGCCGGTGTGTGTGTGACCTGAGGCCCGGTGTTTTCCTCCACAGACGTTGGGTAGAAAATGGAGTGTGTGCCTTTAAGGCGCCCGACTGCCTGTCGCTTTTTGCTGCGGAGAGACTGACGCCCTCTGGACACAGTGGACACTTGAGCGGCGGCAGCACACCATCCTGGAGAAGTTCAAAGAGGAAAAAACAGCCACAACCCGCTCTTAAAAAAAAAAAAAGAAAGGAGAAAAGTCGTGAGGTCGTTCAACAGCGTTGTGGTGAGTTTTTAAAACTTCTTCTGCTTTCGTTATTTCGCCGTTTTTCTTTTCTTTTTCTTTTTTTTAAAGCTGCGCTCGGTTTCTCTCGCGGCTGCGTGCGAGTTGAAGCAAAAGTTTTGGTGAGTTAGCGATGAGCTGAAAAAGGAGGTGAAGAGGTTTTTCATGCTAATGTTCCTCACATGTTCCTGTGAAACTGGAACAATGTGCAGCGAGAGAGTGGTGAAGTGGTAAAAAAAAAAAAAGCGCAGCGACGGGATTAGACGGTGTGTTAACGCGCAACACTTCGGGGAGAAAAAAAAAATAGGTGAAGGAAGCTGATGTTGCCAGATGTGTGTGTGTGTGTGTGTGTTGTTATTCCACAGTAACGTGAGTGAGAGCTGGCTTTGAATGAAATGTGACGCAGGCTTTTTAGAAATGTGATGGATGTCAAAGTTTGAGCTGCTTTTGTAGGATAAAGTTGTGATTTGAACCTTTTTTTTTGTTTAAACCACAGTTTTATTGACTTTTGCTGCACTTTTAGTTCCTGGTGTTTGAGTTTAGAGCACTAAAATGTAGATTTCAGATCTCACACTGCTGCATGAAGGACATAAATAAAGGGAATGCAGGTTAAACCCCCCCTCATTATTCATTAGAGCTGTTATATACTCATCAGGATACAAAGAGAAACACACAGTTTGGCATAAAAAAGCAGCTCCAGCTCAGCATGAGGAAACACTCTCTGCTCTTTTACATATTCAAAGCATTTCTCTTTTATTATCTCTCTTCTATCTATCTTCCCTTTTTCCTCCTGAGGAATGTCAGCGCTGAGGTTTTGTTTGTTTGCCTCTGAGGTCCCTGTGTCTTGTGTTGATGTAGGTGTTTCCAGTGCCGTGCTGGTGAGCCATCAGGATGAAGCCTGGTCAGCTGATCGTCCTCCCCGCCGCCGCCGCTCTCCTCTTCCTCCTTTCAGGGCTGTCTCTGACCTCCGGCTGCAACAAGGCCCTCTGCGCGAGCGACGTCAGCAAATGTCTCATCCAGGTAAAGGAACGCCGAGGTTCTCCACTTGTTGTCTGAGAGCGATGGATGCTGAAGGGTTGGAGTTACACAAACAACTCCTCCTTCCTCTCCCGGGGGCTCATTTTCTGAAAGAATCTGTAAAGTTAGACCACCTTGCAGTTTCTCATACTTTAACTTGGAATGTAATCTCTGGAGTTCTGGTTGTTGGTGTTAAACTACATATAAATGTGGTTTGCATCCTCTAAAATCCCCTATGGTTGTCCTATAAATGTGCAAGGTGAGGTTATGGCTGCAGACAGATAATCTAATTTCACGAGTGGCCCCGAACTCAACTGAGCTTTTCTGTTGATTAAAGTGGGGAAAATACTGATGTGAGAGCAACCAAGTTCAAGCTTTTCATCCTACAGCGTTACAGCTGTTTTGTGTAAACAGAGACTTGTTGTTTCTCTGCGATAGAGAACAGAAATTAAATGTTGAGTTCGAGCCCCGAGAAAAGAAACCCCCCAACTTGTTTTTTAATGCTGTTTAAATTAGCATAAAACTGGCAGGACGGACTCAAAAACTACGCAGTAGCATTCCTTCGACTGGCGGGCTAAAGGAAATATGATTCAGCTGTTGTTACGTCTCCGTTTTGTCCAAGTACTTCCCATAAAAAACAAATATCCAGCAGTAGCCAAAAGTCGAGTTAAAATCGGCTCGTGTCCTGACGGAGATCTGGACCGGAGAACAAAGATGGAATCTGTTGTGAAGAATGCAGATACATTCCTTCGATAAGCCAGCGAAGTCTGGGAGAAAAGTTTTTTTTTTCTTCTTCCCAGAGCGAGCAGCAGAGGAGCAGAGATGTGAATCTGACTTCATGCACACCTGTTCTCTACCTGTACAGGTCACATTCAGGGCCGTTGTAGAGCAGTGGATCGTGGGAGAAAGGGCTCTGCAGTGCTTTGATTTTATGTTCACATCAACCTTTCTGACTTTTGGACTGTAGTTGACTTTCTGGCATCACTTCCTGTGTGTCACTCTTTCCCTCCCGTCTGGAGCCCGGTGGGTGAGGGGCAGAGGGGTGGTACCCCACAGTTAACACACACTCTGTAATGCATTCGGGTTATTTTGAGGGAAAACATGAAGTGTTGGCCCGTCCTTCCAACACATGTCAAGTCGGATTTAAGCTGCTGCTTGTCCTCGAGTGTGTGTGTGTGTGTGTGTGTGTTTGTGTGTGTTTAATGGCCCTGCCTCTCCCATTAACATCGTTTAAAGCACCGTATTTAACCTCAGTGGCCATTTCACCTGTGTGACCTCAGAGTGAGTGAGCTGCAGGTAGTTGCTGTTTGGGAAGGAGGTGTCGAAAACAGTCAGAATGGATGAGGCTGTAGGTCCATTAATTGACACAACTGACTAATAATAATAATTACTCTTTGTAGGATTATTGTAAGGCATTTATTGAGGTTCATCGTCTAGAATCGATGTTTGATATTATTACATAGTGTGTATCTTTACCACTGGCACAGAGACATTTATTAGTTCTACGTGTGAGGATTTGATGATTTTTCTCTTTGATAAAACCTTGTAAACTGTGAGATCTTTGGGTTTTTAACTGTTTCTGAACAAAACAAGTAATTTGTCACCATACAAAAGTAATCAATATTAAAAATAATCTCTAGTTGCAGCACTAATTTGAAACAGAATAAAGTATTATTATTTGTTGATACAAGTACTTCCTGTCCATGGTCTAGTTAACCTGATAGGGGATCTAATATCGTAGAGCCCGCCTTTGTTTAGTGGTTCAGATTCTTTAACAACTGTACAATTAATTATAATAACTGGCTCTCAGTGAATGTGGGTCCCTTTTTAAAGGTCTGAGGCCCCTGGGAAGTTGCCCTCTTTGTAATCCAGCCTCGTTCCTGAACCAGTTTGGACAAAGTGGAACTAACCTTTTACTAAATATTGTGTTGCTTCAAGGGAAACTTGCCTTTAGCAGCAGCCTTTAACAGTACAACAGGATCATCAGAGAACATAAATACTTACTTATATTCTGTTAAACGTAACTCTTAAAGGTGGAACCATCACCGTGAGTTAAAGAAGATCAAGACACAGGAAAATATGAATAATGTTCATTGAAATTTATCAGAAACCAGAAACACGTATTCAAATTGCTTGTTTTTATTTGAAAAGCCAGAAAAAACGGCAAGTTATTCAAATTTTAATGGATTAAAACAGAGAAAATCAGCAAATACTCACATTTAAAAAGCTAAAAACCAGCAAACATATTGTGTTTTTTTTTTCCTGATTAAAACCAATTATTCAGATTGATTAATTTTCTGTCAGCAAGCTAATAAATGAATCATGAAGATAACATTGTTCGCTCTCTTACAGTCCTGAAACAGAAGATTTAAGAACAATAATACATTTTCTACACCACTTTAAAAAGGTCAAACTTTACAGGAAATAAAATCTTTAGTGGCCCTTTTTGTTTTATAGATTACAGTCTTGCACCATTTGTTGGGCACAAACCAAACATCAGCTCCCCTCCTGTGATCTACAGATTGTTCTTTACTTCCAGGTGGCTTATTTCGCCTGACGAATCATTGCTCGGGACAACAAAGCTCTGTAGTTTCCGCGACCCTGCCGACACCAACTCGCTAGCTGTCAGAGGCGAGAGCGATGGTGCGTGTGCCGTGAAGGAGAAACTTCTTTTTTTTTCCGCCTCTAGACGCTGCATGTTGCTAGTGATTAGTGGGATCTGCCGTCTGACGCTCGCTTTTTACGCTCTGCTGCCATCTCAAGTCATTTGTCTGAATTCCCCAAAACCCCTGAGGGTCGGAGAACATGAGAGGAGGGAGAGGGAGGCTAAGGTCAGGAGGAGGTGTGTATGTCTGTGGGGGGAGGTTGGTTGAGGGAAATATACAGTTGGGTTGAGATTCACAAGCCACAACTCTGTCCAGGCCGGGGCTGTTTAGCAGGGTGTGGCAGCAGATTTCAAAGTTAACACACAGCAGCGGTCGCTCAGCAGGACGAGGCAGCACATGTTCACTTTCTCCCCGCAGTCCTTTTGTCTCGCTGTGGCTGAGTTTTCACTGATTGCAGCAGTTTCCGCCCGTGAGGCAGGGGAGGCCCTAATGAGAAAGTGGTCGAGATGACCTCGTCCCTTTTCTGTGTCGGTGGGGCAGAACTACAAACTGTTGGCTTGAACCTGTTTGTTCGTTTTACGGTTGTTTATTCTGTAAAATGGCAGAAAGGTGACGCTTCTTTTGAGATTCAAGATTTACTGTCAAAGAAATGCAGCAAATTCTTATATTGGAGAAGCTGCAACCAGAGATTGACAACTATGAATAATTAATTATCAGAGTCACTGTTGATCAAGTTTTTGTTGTTTCTGGACTAAATGTTTCAGCACCAGTTGCACCTGGAATCAGTCCATGTGGGTTTGTTCTGCTTTTGGCTGTTTTCATGTTTTAAAGCTACACTTTATAAAAATATTTCTTTGTTTTATTTGCTTAACTTTCATATATTCCTGGCAGTAATACCGCAAACAGATAACGTGAACAAATCAGGTTCCTCTGACTTGTTCTAGCGCTCCTAATGACGTTTACAAGAATCCACAGGCCTGAACGAAAACAACCAATCAGAGCTGAGAAAGATATAAAGACGCTTTGGGGTTGGAGGCTTGAAGATAGTTGATTCTTGAGTCTCATTCACAGAGTCCCAAAGTGTCTGTATTTGATACCCTGGGAATAAGACTCACAATCAATGATCTTTCTCTCCTCTGATTGGATCCTTTTGTTCGGCCCGGTGGATTCTTGCAAACGTCATTAGAAACGCTAGAACGAGTCAGAGGAACCTGATTTTGGTGCAGATTATCTGTCTCACTATATCCTGACAGTAATACACGAAAGTTTCACCAAATGGGACAGAAAATACTTTTGTAAAAATGACCTCCTGCAGCTTTAATTCAGTCGTGATTGTTTTCTGTTTGTGTTTATTAAGATTAATGACTCAAACATGAAGAAAGGAACACGTGTTATCATTAGCTTTGTGTGATTTTTAAGTTGCTACCAGCCTGAAACAAATAGGTGAACACATTCAGATTCTTGCTTTGTTTCTTGTTTCAAAAGAGTAGTTTGACATTTTGGGAAATGTGCCAATTCATCTAAATCTAAAGAAAGTGAAATAAGTATATTATTATAAACTAAACTAACCTCCTCCTCCTCCTCCTCCTCCTCCTGGCTCCAGCTGCATGTAAATGAAATCCTCTTTTATTGCAATGAAATGACTTTAAAAAGTAATTTTTCTTCTTTTTCTGATTTGTGAAATATGAGATGCATGTTTTCCTCTCGGGGCAGCTGTTTAGTTTTTTTTTATAATTCCACCTTTGAGAGTCATAATTACTCATGGGATCAGATGTTGATCAGAGGTTTGGGGATCGAGAGGCTGGTGATTAAGTGAACTGTGTGTGGTTTTGCAATCCCTCACTGGTGAGTCATTGGAGAGTCTTTTATCATTGCTGAGGCTGTTTACGTGCTTCTGCAAAGATATAAAGGAGGAGCAGGGTGAGAGGAGGGTAAAAAAACATAGCAAAAGGGAGAACATGTGGAGGAAAAGAGCATAAAAAGGAGGAGGAAGGAGAAGAAAAGCGAAGGGGGAAAGTGTTGTTGGGGGGGAGAGCAGCCATGTTCTGTTCTCCAGGTGTTTTCTTCTCCCTCCCTCTGTTTCTCCCCCACCTCCCCGCCTCCTTCATTGCGGTGACCTTGACTTAGAGGAATGTGCTCCCTGTTCTGTGTCAGGAGAGAACAGAGAGGGGGGAGAGGAGAGAGAAAGAGGAACTCCTCTGGCAGTTTCACCCACTTTTCATTTCAATCCCACCTACACGTTTAGTTTCCCTTCACTGTCTCTGAGACAAACTGAGAGTTGAGGAATGAAGGTGGGTTAAGTGTTTGCAGAAGAGTTATGGGCTCAGCAGAGGTTTCATGTGTTTGGATGGTAGCAGAAGTAATAATATTACTTCTATAAAAAGCAACATGAGAAATTCTCAGCAAGAGCTTTTTCTTTTTTTTTCTTTCTGTGTGTGAAGTTACAAAAATGAACCCAGTGAACCTTCATCGTCACTTAAATCGTCTAAAATAAACAGCATAAACACCGGCTATAGAGGGAAATTCTCTACATGCTGTAAACCTTCAGTTTGTGGAAATTACAACATTTTTATCCTTGTTTTAGTTTCTTTTGCTGGCAGATTGTGAACTGTATTAAATATGTCTGCAACTTTTTATTTTCCGATGTTGAGTCAGATTCCTCTACTCGAGGCATTTGCAGATATTTTTTACTTTATTGCATCAATACACAACATGCATCCATCTGAAACACTAAACACTCAAGAACACAGTTAACAGACTGACTCCGCCACCACCGCCTGCACAAGAACACAGTTAATGTGTACCGAAGTGCAAAATGTGAATCACAGAAGCTGCAGTTTGTTTGATAAAGGTCAAATGTGACACACATGATTATAATGAAGTATAATGAACTACATGTTTGTTTGGTACAGACCCCCCAAAAACTTCACATCATCATGATTTTAAACGTTTTTTTTAAGTGAAAATTAAATTTATGATGCAAAGTTCATCAGTCAATCATATCGTAATGTGATGTTTTTACCAGATTGTGCAGCTTTGCGTGCATCGACAGAAAACATGCATATGGTAGGAAGTAAAAAACCAAGAAATATAGTTGTTTCAAATAATGGGCTGTACGACCAAATCCTATAGATACAGTTTGTTCTGTTTAAAGACTGACTAAATAAATAATACAATCCTCTAAAGAAGAAAAGAATTATTAAGAAAAGAATAGGATCTAAAGTTTTCTTAAAATGATCGGAGCAGCCGCCAATACTGTACTTAACTTATACTTTAAGTATAGAAAGGACATTAAGTCTTTAAGCCAAGAATTAGGAGATGGAGGCTTTTGATCCAGTGAAGTAAAATAACCCTGCAGGGCTACGAGAGAGGCAGTAATATCTCTCTGCTTGAGACTGAAGCAGGTACAATCTTCAGGGACACCAAGAATAAAGTTCAAGGGGCAAAGAAAACTTCATCTGATTTGCCGATACCAAGAACTAACCTCATACCAGCGCTCTCTTGTACACTAACTTAAAATATGCATATCGTACTGCATGGAAATTTTTTCAGCAGGAATTGTAACTAAAAAATACTGAATTGGCTACTTGCTACAGCAGCTCCAGATACAACACAACAGATCGGAAATACACATTAAATACAAATATAACAGGAAAATACAAGATATAATAAAAATAGACTATATATACAGCTTTATGTGCAGATGTGATTAATATTTAACATCACACAGGTCACAGCAGGAGGTAGTGGCAAGTGTAAAAATAAATGTAATTACACAGGATGAAATATGTACAGTAGTATAGTTTAGAGGAAATATAGGCTATAAACTGGGCTATGAATGAGTCGTCAGCCATCTGTAGAACTGTATTTAATGTGGATTGATGTCAGTCAGCAGATATCTGATCCATTTAATAAGTTCAGTATCGGTTGTAATTGTTGTATGCGGTGTAATACAAGAATTAAAAGATACTCTATTACAAGTGAACGGCCTGTGTTTCAAATCTTAAGTAAACACGTTTTAGGAGCAAATTATACTTGAAGTATCAAAAGTAAAAGTACTCTTGTGTGGCTCCATTCAAAGCATTTATTATATATTAATTATTGGAGTTTTATTCTTGATTCATCACCGTTTAAGCAGCATCTGAACGTTGCCAAGAGTAGAGCTACTGTCAGTCAGTGCCGCCCACTGAGCCTCAGAGTGAAACCATTCAACAAAATGATTTGAATGCTGTGACCTTTTTGACGTGTCAGAACCTGCTCTGTTCATGAATGGAAAGATAGCAGAGGTTATCGCAGAGTTCTGTAGACATTGATAGAAACCACACAGTTGTCTTGTAAACGGCTTGTTAATAGTTACTGTACATGAAGAAAACCTGCTGATTTTAATGGTACGTGTCCTGTTTGTTCAGCGGGTCTACGTGTTGTGTTCTGTCTGCTGTGGGACCTTTTAACTGTCGGACCAGGATCTCTTATACTGAAAATGAGCCTTTATTTGATGTTCGTGTGTGATCGACTGTTGCATTCTCCAATTTTATCGATTTGAAGTATTTTGAAACACAGGGTTATGTAAAAAAAGGAAAAAACAACATTTGGACTTACAATTAAAGACTCAAAAATAAAGCTCAGAATTTAAAAAATACTTAACCACAGTTTTAAATTTTAACCAAATGTCGAGGCTGCGTCTTGTTGCTGTTTGGTTCAGGTGCTCCCTGTTGGGTTTACTTGTTTGTATTCACCTTTTTAACTCTGTAGCGCTTTAGATTATTACGTACTGCAGCGTAACTCTTCCAAGTTTGATCCTTCCAGTGTACCAGTACAGTACGCACCAGTACCTGTAGGTACAGGGGAGGAAGATAAAGAAAAAGTTGGGGAATTGTGAATCATATATCACAATATCTGTCAAATTAATATAAAACTATATGATTTTGTTTTGTACCAAATCATGCAGCTCTACTAAAAACACCACTAGTACTATAAATTACACTGTAAACTGAGTTTTGCTGCTGTACGTATAAAACTTCATTGTTTTAACATTGATATTTATGTGACTTCTCCCAATTTTATGTGAAATTGCTTGTAAACATGATTTTGAACTGGTGAGGTTGATTATCTTTGCACACGCAGCAGTGGGATCTGTTGAACTCCCAACAAGGGGGAAGTAAAGACAAAACACAAAGGATAATAAGCCTAAATAGGCTAAAATGTACCAGAAAAGTATCATGTTGCCAAGGATCATGTTCAGTATCACCTCTTTATAATCAGCCTGCTTCCACACTAATGAATTGCTGCTTAAGTCTCAGTTTTTATCAGAAATACAAACAGTGAAGTGTTGTTTTTGCATGTATCTGTTTTGCTGATGTTTCTGTGTGTCGTCCTGCAGGAGCTGTGCCAGTGTCGTCCGTCTGATGGGAACTGTTCGTGCTGTAAAGAGTGCATGCTGTGTCTGGGGAACCTTTGGGAAGAGTGCTGCGACTGCGTGGGTGAGTGCAAGCGTCGCATTTATTAGCAACATATTTCAAAGCTTGACTGCAAAGTTAGTCAGCGTATTCTTTTGTGCTTGGATAAACTGCATACAGCTTTAGCTTCAGCCCACGCTCCTGTTTTTTTAAATGCACTTACAGCAACTGAACAGAGTCAGTAAGACACACGGCTGCTGATGAACATCTGTGGAAGAGATCAGTGTCAGTGAAGATTGCGTTCAAGTTGTACAAATGTGAATTTGTCAAGTTTGTTTTGGACTTTTGGACGACAGGAATGAAATTGAATTTGATGTTAATATTAACTTGCTCAGTGCTGCTACTGCTCGTTTCCACCTGCCACTGTGGCCACATTGAGGCTGGAAAGTTGGTATTCAACACCATCACTTTCAGAGTTAACGACTGTGACAGATTCTCTTTAATATCTTTTATTTTTATCCATTTAATATATCATGTTTATGTCATAGCAGGTTTCATAACCTCAAATTAGATTAGATTAATTTTTATTGTGCATGTAGATTCTTATAAAAATGAGTAATAACACTTTAACCCGCTATTTATAAAGATTTAATAAATGGTTTATAACATACTATAATTCAGTTGTGTAAGCAGATTTTAAGGACTTTTTAAAACATTTATTGATGTACAGTATTTGTTATAGTTGTTGACAGCGCTAAGCCCCTTCTCTGGGGGGAGACAGACAAAGGTGGAGAGCCACACAATCACCAAACTACTGCAAGTGCAAGAAAAATCCAATAAGAGTAATTTATCAATATAATCTGTGCAATATACAGACGTTGGTTCATTCAGGTAACTCTGCAGGATACTTTTAAAAGCAGAGAGAAATTTGTTCAAGACACGACCAAAAAGATTAAAGAGGCTATTTTATAGTAACATTAATCAAACAATCGATTAAGCTGCATTTGTATAGCACCTTTCACACAGGTTAGTGCTGTTCAAAGTGTTTCACAGACGACTGATGAGCCGATAATAAGACAGAATGAGTGTGAATCACGATAGAGAGAAATAAAAACTAGATAAAATACATTTTAAAAACTAAGATAAAAATGACAATAAAAAATATTACAATGGAGTAAATTAAGGAACAGATGATTTGTGTTCTCAGTGTAATGCAGAGCTATTCACCTGTAGCGGATGGGGACTAATATTAAACCACTCGTATCAGGATCTGAGGCAAAAAAATCTTTAATAAACTCCTATAACTGCCTACAACTACATTACAGTGTGTTATAATCTATTAGATGTTTATATCCTTATAAATGCTTAAAAAAAACGTATCATACCTTTTTATAATATGAACAATGTAAAAATAACTCATTATGTCCAGTTTAATATGGTTAAATATTACCAGGAAGTGTAACTGCAGCAGGCAGTGAACCTTTTTATAATTGATCAAACTGTGATTTAAACATATTTAAATGATTCTGGCACTAATCTCTTTCCATACATGTGACACTTGAGTTACGTCTCAGTCTTGTTAATCTCTCAGTCGCCCCGTCAACAGAGCACTTTCTCTCCCCGTGAAAAATGAGACTGTGGCTGTAATGCACTTGACAGTTAAAGAGCACGCCGGTTTAAAAAGGAACCAGTGTGTTCAGAGTTGTTGCTGCTCTGATACGAGATGAGTGTGAGGTGAGCAAAGCCAGATATTGAAGGTGCCTCTGAAAAGTGACCGTGTGGAGGTTAAACGCAAAGCAGAGCAGAGGGGGGGGGGGCGCTGTTTATCAGAGCGTAGGAAATTAAAGGAATATTATTGCTCCAAGTCTCGAGGTTTCCCCAGAAGATCAAAGGATGAAGAAGCCGGAAGAGAGCGGGGACGAGGAGGTCGACCTGCTTAGATGAACTTTGACTTTCTGCCTCCTACCGAGGTGTAGTGGGGGTGTAAATCCAAAATAACTGGATTTGTGGAAACAAGAAAACATTTCACTGGTTAACTCCTTCATCTGCAAACAGGCTTCAAACCAACGGAGTTAGAAACTGGGACATGTTTGTAAAATGAGTGAAAATGTGTCAAGACTCAAATTTAAAGACCAAATTCTTAGATTATTAGACAATGGGTCCCTGCACACAGGCAAGTAAAAGGCCCCAAACCCTGCTATATAGGAGGAAGACAACGGACTGTGTTGTTCTGTGTTGTGTTTTGTGTCTCTTAATAGTAGTTTTGCTTCTCTTTGTGCTCGCTTTGTGTCTGTTGGCGACGTTTTGTAGTCATTTTACGAATCTTTCTGGTCATTGACATCTCTTTCTGGTTGATTTATATCTCCCCTTGGTGGTTTTGTGTCTCTTTGTGGTCGTTTTGTGTCTCCTTGTAGTCGTTTTGTGGCTGTTTTGTGGGTTGATTGACTTTTCAACAAGAATTGTTAACAGTCACTTCACACAGAGGCTGTAGTCCAGAGGGTGCCTGGTCCGGTACCTCGTAGTCCTGTTCAGTAATCCATCCATGATACAAACAAACCAACCACCTATCACTTTCTGACTCACCGGGTTGGGGGGGGCGGTGCCACCCATGGCTACCCTTCTGGCACCGCCCCTGCAAACTAGTAAGTTCTTAGATCAGCGTTGACAGACAGATATTGCTGTATGTGCTGACAAAGAGGCTTTATTAAAGCTCTTTCATGTGGAACACAAATACAAGTATCTGACACTGAGCTGCTGCTGCTGCACAGATGTTGTGGTGGTGGAGTTTTCCTCCTGGACAGGCCTTTTACAATACACCGAGGACAGCCTGTAGCTTTAAGCAAGTATATTTCTCATTTATATGTTTTTATTTTTTTCCCTTACAGTGCTAGCCTTATGACCACTTTAAGTAAGTTTCCACTCTAAACATGTTATCTGGGCCAAAACGCTGGCTACTTTGAAGTGTGTATCTGCGAGTGGTTAGAGCAGCCCAGCAAGAGGAGCGGAGGGGAGAGGACACGTTTTGTGTTTTAGAGGAAGGGAGGAGGGAGGGAGGACCCATGTGTACGCTTTATCTAAAACAGCTGCTCTGGCTCAGCTTTTACCATTGGTTTGTAATCCAATTCCTCTGTCAAACTCCGTTCCCCATTAAATGATTTAGCCATTAGCTATAATTCACTTTGACTCATTTACAGGGTTAGGAAGATCATATCTGAGGATGTGGGGACTTTGTCGAGTGATTACTACTGTATTTGGAAATTAAATGAAGTGTTAAAAAGGACTTTAATTGAGACAAGATACTCTTGACAGCTGTGTGGTTTTTTTTTTTTTTTTTTTTTTTAACGAAAACTGCCCCTTGTGAGTTGAAATCATGTGTGAAGCACATTTACACGGTTAATGTGTATTTTGAGTTTAAAGTGTTGATTTGAAAATAAACTCCTTG